CAAAAGCCACAAACACCACTCTCCTCCTCCCACACAGACTATTTCCTAAAATGAACCCACTGGCCCACATGTGATAAGAGCCAGTGTTGGGGCCAGCCCACTGATCACAGCCTCATGGTGTCCAGATACTCCTCTTTGGTCATCCACTGGAACTTGTAGGTAGACAGCTGGGGGACCATGGATGCACCCAGCCACATGCTAAAGCGCAGGTTATTGCTCACCTACACGTTGATCTGGGCTGGGCCGTGGTACCTGGATCTCAGCTCTTAAAACAGATGTGTGGCAAAGCCGGGGTATAAGGTCTTTCTCCCACATCCCAATATAGTGCGACAGGAGCAGCAAGTGACCAGAGGCCTCGCTGGATTCAATGGAATCCAGTATGATCTGGGAGATGCTGGGCCCTGGCATCTCAAACACATGCAGGTTAAAGAACATCTCAAGGGCCATCATCTGCATGGGGGTCAGCTCCACAGTGGTTCCATGGGGAGCTGATAGGTGTTGCTCTCCTCTGAGCCACTGGGCAGACTGACAGTAGTCCAGGATCTCTTCCAGGCTCTGAGGCATGAAACACTTGCCTGTTTGCACTGCAGCAACCATGTCCATCTGGAACAGGTTGTGCTGATCACAGGCCTCCTTGAACAGGCTACTGAAGAGATACGTCAAGAGATCCTTCCCGGCAAACTCCAGCATCTTCCTGCTGAAAGGTGGGGGGCAGTCCAGGTAGAACGGCTGTGCTCAGGTCAGGCCATAGCCAGAGTACAGCACCAGGCCACTCAGCAGACCTGAGGCATACAGAGACATCGCCATCTGGTTGGCCAGGAGCACTGAGGGCGCATCCAGTAATTCAAACATGATCTCCCTGGTCTTCTGGTGCTCTGAGAGTGTACTCCGTGGAGACTGGGTGACCAGCACAGAGCAGTCCTCCTGTCCTTACCTATGTGTCTGCAGGACGAATGCCCAGAGGTGTTTGGCGCCCTTCCCAGTTGAAGATGCGGCCATGCTCTATGGGGTAGATGAAGGTGTTGGGGTGCTCATGGTCTATGCCCAGGCCCACACATCTCTGGGCATAGCTGGGGCCAAGGTTCTCCCTGCATGGCTTGTAGTTAACGATGCTTGGAAGGACCATCTACGGATTGTTCCAGCCTGACAGGCCGGCCTTCAGAAAGCCCGACCCATGGTTGATGATGATGGTTCTTGAACCCCATGGTTGAGGCAGAGGTGGGCAGGGGGATCTTTCCCATGATATAAATTAAAATGTCAGAATTAAGCAAGCAGCACAATTTAAAAACTTATTCATGTAGCTCCAGGATGGAACCCAGACCTGACACACAGGATGTATGTACATGCTCTACCACTGCACTCCTCCCCAGCCCAGCACAATTACATTTTGTGATTCTATATCCCTCCCTGCCCTGTGGCTCAGAGATATGAGCTTCCAGTTCTATTCTTAATTGTCCCTACTAAATACCCCAGGCAGCTGTGCTGTCTGATACAGAAACTATTACTTAGCCATGTGGGCCATTAAGCATTTGTTATGGGTTAGGATATGTAGTGAGATTTAATGCAAAAAAATCTTTTTTTGAAATTTAATACAAAATTATAGGTTATTTTTATATTGATTATATTCATTTTTATTTTGTACGCTTGAAAAAAATCACCTATTTGCTGGGCATGGTAACGCATGCCTTTAATCCTAGCACTCAGAAGGCAGAAGCAGGTGGAGCTCTGCGTTCAAGGCCAGCCTGATCTACATAGTGAATTCCAGGCTAGCTGAGGCTATAGGGAGACCCTGTCTCAAAAAAAAAAAAAAAAAAAAAAAAAAAAAAATCAAATCACCTGTTTTCTATATCTGTTGCCTATTTCTTAGTTAATAAGTTATGTATTCTGACAGACTTTCTTGCTTATGAGAAACAGATTACCCCCCAACCTGCATTCTTTTTTAACTTTTTCTTTAAGGTCTAATTCTTTTTTTTTTTTTTTTTTTTTTTTTTTAAGTGCAGGATCTCCCAGTAGCCCCAGCTGGCCTTGAACTCACAGAGATCCATCTGCCTCTGCCTCTGCCTCCCAAGTACTGGGACTACAGGTGTGCGCCACCACACCCTACTAAGACCTAATTCTTAATACTACTTAGGAAAAAAAAAAAAGGTCTATTATTTCCTGATCTTTTTTTGCCTCCTTCTCCACCTCTCTTTCTCTGAATTTTCTTATTTTTCTGTTTGACTAGTATAACCACTTTTTGCTGTACTAAAGAGTACTTCAAAAAAGGTCTTTATGCTGAATCATGGTTGTTTAACTTGGCAAATGCTTCTTATTTCTTTAGACCTCATTTTCATCATGTTATTGATTTCTTTAGATTTCTCTTTTGTTTTTATTAAAATTTTTATTGTTGCTGTCTTGATACATATACAAATGAAACAATCCTAATGGACTTACCCCAAGCATTTGAAAGTTCAGCTATTACAGGGATAGTTTGTATAGATAGACTTAATCAGGAAATAGGCATACAGCAATTTAAGTACTTAAAAAACGTTTAAAGGATTTTGATTTTAAATTATGTATATATGTGTATGTATGGGGGTATATGCATGTAAGTACATGTGCCTGAGGAAACCAGAGGTGTCAGATCCCCCAGGAACTGCTGTTGAAAGTAGTTGAGGGTTGCCTACATGTTTGCTAGGAATTGAACTCTTGGAAGAACAGTTACATGCTTTTACCTGCTGACCTCTCTCCAGCCCAATTTAAGTACTTTTAGATTGTTGGGAGAAGGAAATATTTCAGGAAGGAGAAAAAATGAAAAAGAATGACTTACCTATATTGTTTACATAACTATTGAAAAGCCAACCAAAGTACATTTTTACTTTACAGAGGAGGGAGAGTTTACCAGTCAGTGTCTTATCAGTTAGGGTAGTCATTATTAACTTTTCCCATATGTCTATTTTATACTTTGAAAATACTTTATTGCAAAATGATGCGTGAGTACATGCTTTAAAAAATTTCAGCAGTATAGAAATGTTTAAAGTCATGCACACAAAAGTTTTCCATTTCTTCCCAGTCATTTGCTTTCTCCGTAGGGAACATCTCTTTATAGTATGTATATAAAAACACTTTTTTTTTTTTTTTTCTTTTTGAGACAGAGTCTCTCTGTAGTCCCAGCTGGCCTGGAACTTGCTTTGTAGACCAGGCTAGCCTTGAACTCTCTCTGCCTCCCAAGTGCTGGGATTAAAGGCATGCATCACCATGCCCAGCTAAAAGCACAAATTTTTATGTTTACAATTTACATATGTGGGTTTGTGTACTTGGTGAGGTTTTTTTTTCTACCCAATCTTCATTTGAAATTTTCTGTTTTATATATCTCTTGCATTTTAAAAGAAACTACATAGACTTTTAGAAAAGAAATACTCATACTAAGAAAGTCCAACAGTATAGGAAAGCACTGCATAGAATGATGGATTTTATCCCTATTCACTAGCTGTTACCCTGGTTTTTTGTTTGTTGTTTGTTTCTGAGACTGTCTCACAGTAGCTCAGACTAGTCTTGCTGTGTTCCTGGTAATGACCTTAAACTCCTGAACTTCTTGGCTTTACCTCCTCAGTGTTGCAGTTACAGGCATATATACCAGCACTCCTGGCATCCTGATTTTACAAGATAAAAGTCTTGTACTGTAGCTTATCCTGGACCGAGACTCAGTGTGTAGCCCAGACTGGCCTTGAAATTGTTTCAATCGTCCTGCTTCAGCTTCCCGAGTGCTGGGATCACTTGAGTGGGCCACCATGCCCAGCTTATTATCCTGAGTTTTGTATAGCATTCCAAAATCTCTGTTTGAAAGTACCCCTCCCTTTCTCTTTCTCCCTCCTCTCCTCTTCCTATTTTGCTGTTGCTTATTTCCTTTTTTTTCCCTTTTCCATATAGGTGATCATAAGATTTTCCCCCCATCATGTTAAGAACTTTTGCATTGTTTAATGACAGACTTTTCATTACATGATGTACCATAACTAAAGTTTTCTCTTATTGTTAGGTACCTTGATGTATTAGTTTTCCCACTATGAAAGCCCTTTAAAATTTCATAATTACTTAAATGGACTGTAGTGTTTTGGGTGCTTTTCAGCAAAAAACTTAAATATTAAAAGGAAAGGGAAAGGTTGAATTTTCTTTCAGTTTGATTCCAGAACTGGTAGAACTTGAAGTCCAATTTTAGCTGATATGCCTTTAAATTGTAGAATATAAAATGTTTAGTTTATACTTTTCCTTTTTATTTTTTTTTTAAAGTTTTAGGAATCAGGCATGGTGATGCATGCCTTTAATTCCAGCACTTGCAGAGGCAGATGGATCTCTGTGAATTTGAGGTTAGCTGGGGCTACAGGGAGACGCTGTCTCAAAAATACCCCCAAAAAACCCTTTTTTTTTTTTTCTGCATGTACGCTCGTATAGCCTGCATGTATATAAGTGTAACCACACCCATGTCGTGCACTGCCCAAGGAGGTCAGAAGAGGGCATCAGATTCCTGGAACTGGAGTTATGGAAGGTTGTTAGCTGCCATGTGGGTGCTGGGAATTGAACCCAGTGTTCTTAATTGCTGAGCCATCCTGCAAGCCCATGTTTTCTTAATTTTGTATTCATATACAATTTGATGAAATACAAAATTCTTGTTTGGATTCTGTGGTTTGATGGCACAGGGGAAGAGTCTCTTAAAAGTATCAATTTTAATATAAAATTTATGAAATAGGGGCTGGAGAGATGGCTCAGCAGTTAAGTACAGTGGCTGTTCTTGCAGAAGACCCTGGTTCAAATCCCAGCACCCACATGGCAGCTAACAACTGTCTGTAACTCAAGTTCCAGGGGATCCAACAGCCTCTTCTGTCCTCCGCGGGCATTGCATGACACGGGAGCACTTACCTACATGCAGGCATAACACATACACATAAAATAAAAATAATAAATTAAAAAAATTTTAATTTATGAAATGATAGGTAATGGGATTTTGTTTTTGTTTTTTTAATCAGTGACTTTTTTGAACGAACCATTCTATGCAACAGCCTTGTATGGAGTTGTGCTGTGACGGGTAGACCTGGACTGACATATCAGGAAGCACTTGAATCAGAAAAAAAAGCAAGACAGAATCTTCAGAGTTTTCCAGAACCACTAATTATTCCAATTTTATACTTGACCAACCTTACCCATCGTTCACGATTACACGAAATTTGTGATGATATCTTTGCATATGTCAAGGATCGGTATTTTGTTGAAGAAATCGTGGAAGTCATTAGGAACAATGGTTCAAGGTAATGTACTTTTAATTTTTCTTCTCAATAAGTGAAAGGTGCTCAAAAGTCAAAATAGCCATGTACAATACTGCATTCTTATAATATCAGCATTGGAAAACTGAGGCAGGAAGATTGTGAGTTCTAGGCCAGTCTAGGCTTCAGGCTGTCTGAAAACAGCCCTTCTAAAAGTTGAGATATGAACAGGGTGGTCTGAAGAACTCTTGCTGTATCTAGCTACCCTGTTCACCCACAGATAGTCCTGTGTTTTCTTGTATTTCCAAAGCTAATTTATGTACATGCCACCAAAAGTATGTATATGCATGTGTCCATATCTGTACAGACATACATAGTTGTATTCCTTTTCACTTTAAATATAATAGTAATTACTATTCTCTATTACCTTTTCACTTAAAATATATTTGAGATCAGTCTTGCCATATAAACCACCTTCTTTCTCTTTAATTTACTATCAAATAAGCTCCATTATGGAGGTTCTTTTACTTACTTTTATTTTGTGTATATGAGTGTTTTGCCTGCATGTGTATAAGTGCATCCATGTCATGCAGTTACTGCAGAGGCCAGAAAAGGGCATTGGATCCCTTGGAACTGGAGTCACTGACGGCTGCCATGTTGATGCTGAGAACCTAACCTGGGTCCTGTTCAATAGCAGCCAGTGTTTTTAACTGCTGAACCATCTCTCCAACCCTGGAAGTTCCAGTTTTAAGAGTAAAAAAAAACCCTTAAATAATAGTATCTACTATATCATCCTGTTGAATAATCTTTTTGTGGGTTTCAGTATGTCTCTTTTTTTTTTTTTTTTCGGTCTTTTTGAGATAGTCTCCCTGTAACCCCAGCTGGCCTGGAACTCACTATGTAGACCAGGCTGATCTTGAACTCGCAGAGAACCAGTCTTTAACAAAACTAGAACTAGGCTCTGTATACTACACTTATTTACATTTCTCTTAAAAACCTTTTCACACAACTTTATTGTTATTATTTTTGACTTTTTGAAACAGGGTCTCCCTGTAGCCCCAGCCGTCCTGGAACTCACTATGTAAACAAACCAGGTTGGCCTTGAACTCAGCAATCCACCTGCCTCTGCCTCCCAAGTGCTGGGACTACAGGCGTGTGCCACCACTCCCGGCTTTAAAACTTTATCTTTTAAAGATTTTATTTATTTATTTATTTTATGTGTGTGTGTGTGTGTGTGTGTGTGTGTGTGTGTGTGTGTGTGTCCTGTTATACAGCTTTATTGAAATACCTAGTGTGCACAAAGTCCTGAGTTCGATCCCAAGCCTTACATAGACCAGGTGTGGTAGTGCATGCCTATAATCTCAGCACTCACCTGTAGCCTGTAATCTCAGTGCTTGGGTGGAGGCAGGAGGATTAGAAGTTCAAGGATATTTTCAGCTACGTAGTGAATTTGATGCTAGCCTGAGCTACATAATACTCTCTCTTTAAAAAAAGCATTGGGATGATAGTTCAGTCAGTAAAATGCTTGACTCATTAGCATGAGATTCTTAGTCCAGTCCCCCCAAACCATGCATGTAAAAAAAAAAAAGCCAGGCATGGTGGCTTGGGCTTGTAATCTTGGTGGGGGATGAGGGTGTTGAACGGGGAAGTGGGGGCTGGCAGAGAGATAAATGGATCCTGGCTTGCTAGCCAGCCAGCTTTACCTACTTAACAAGTACCAAGTCAATGAGAGAGCCTGTCTCAAAAAAACAAAGTGGATGGACTCTGAAAAATGATAATCAAAGTTAGCCTCCTTACTCTTGCACATATACCCACACATAAATGATATGGTTTACATCTCTTACCCCAGTACTTGGGAGACTGAGGTTAGGAGGATTACCATGAGTGAGGCCAGCCTGGGCTATGTAGTGATTTCCAGGTCAACCTGAGCTACAAAGTGAGACCTTGCTTCGAAAAAATGAATAAGCCAGGGCTGGAGAGATGGCTCAGCAGTTAAGAGCACTGGCTGTTCTTATAAAAGACCCAGGTTTGAATCTCAGAACCCACATGGTGTCTAACAGTGGTCCCCAACTCCAGGTAATCTGACACTCTTCTCTGTCCTCTGCAGACATTGCACAACAAGAGTGCACGTGCATTTAGGCATAACACTCATACACATAAAATAAGAATAAATTTTTAAAAATTTAAAAATACGCCAGGCGTGGTGGTGCACGCGTTTAATCCCAGCACTCGGGAGGCAGAGGCAGGAGTATCTCTGTGAGTTCAAGGCCAGCCTGGTCTATATAGTGAGTTCCAGGACAGCTGGGGCTACAGGGAGACCCTGTCTCAGAAAGCCAAAAAAAAAAAAAAAAAAAATTAAAATAAGCTGAGCTGGTAGTGGCACATTGTTAGGTGTTTGGTCTCAGTGGTAAGAAAAGTAACTAATAGAGAAAACTGGCACTGAGAAGGAGGCTATTGCTACATAATATGTAGCCTTTGGAACTGGTTTGAGGAGGAATGTAGAAGGGTCTGGAGCTAGAGAAGTCCTAGAATCTGTGACCTATCATGGGCCATTCTGGTGGGAAGTTGGAAGGCTATAATGCAGGCAGTAGAAGCTGAGCTCCTGAGGTTTGGGGGGGCGGGGACAACACTATTAGGTATTAGTACTATATTCTGTCAAATCATCAGGCTCTGTCTAGCTCTGTCTATCCATGTCCTGAAAATCTGAGTGAATCTGAATTCATTCATAATGAACTTAGTTTGAAAAAGAATTTCAAGATAGTGTAATATTCAGGATGTTATATGGTTATTGCTTAATGTATTTATTCAGAATTACAGTGAGAGTGAGCAGAAAATGAAGCATAGAGCATAAAACATGGGCAGTTTGGTGAGGAGAGGAAGATGAACCCAGGTAAAGTGGTTTGAACAGAGTAACAATAATTGTGAGAGATTCTGCCATTAAGAAGAAACCTAGAATTTTGCATTGGAACAATAGGGAAGGTGCCTTTAGGGGAAGACTTACCCATGGAGAGCTCCAGGGTATAACAGTATAAATTCATTTGAAGAGAGAATGCTTGACAAGGTAGAGCCTGTAGGGTGTCTTGTTGGAAAACATCTGCCTAAGGCAAGGTATAACTGTAAACTCATTTGAAAGAAGATTGCCTGACAAAATATAGCCTTCAGGGTACCCTGCTGAAAAATAGCTTCCTAGGCAAGTATTTTCCTTGATTTAGCTACTTTCCTTAATTTAGAGGCCACTGCAATGAGAATCCAAGGGGACCAAGCCACTCTGGCATCAGAACTTGGGGCAACATTGACATTGTACTGGTCTTGAAGACATGTAAGATGTAAGGGTGAAAGGGTTATAGAAGCTTGCATCAAGGTTCTAGAGAATCAGCAAGGCCAGGTAATGTATAGCAGAGTCAGATTCCCTACACAGAGAAAAAAAAGCTAGCATTCTTCCTTTGCTTCTTGGTCAACTGAGACATGACCAAGCTGTTTCTGTAGTCTCTGCCTGCCTTACCCACTATATCCCCTCAAACTATGTTACTTCTTAGCAGATATTTGGTCATAATAAGAGAAAAGTAACTAAGATAATATGATACAAGTTTAATGAGAGGGGGCTGGAGAGATGGCTCAGTGGTTAAGAACACTGGCTGTTCTTGCGGAAGACTCAGGTTCGAATCCCAGCACTCACATGGCAGCTAACAACTGTCCAGAACTCCAGTTCTAGGGGATCCAACAGCCTCTTCTGTCCTCCACGGACATTGCAACATGGGTGCACTTAACTACATACAGGCAATACACACATACACATAAAAATAACGAATAAAATATGTTTTTTTAAAAGTTTATTGAGAGATGATAAAGTAATGGAAATCTTGATTTTTAAACATGATTAGGCAAGGGATAAATAGAAAATGAAAATTAAACGAGTGATAAGTTATTTAAAAGTTTTTATTAAATTTTGTTGTGTGTGGGATACCTCTGGAGCTCAGAGGACAACCTGTAGGAGATGGTTCTCTCCTACCATATGTGTTCTGGAAATGGAACTCAGGTCATCAGGCTTGGCAGCAGGTGCCTTTACCCCCTGAATCTTGCACCAACTACCCTATGAGGTGTGAGAAAACATAATCTGCTTTTGTGTCCTGCTTGAATATAATAGTTATTCAGAAATACTGAGTCCTTCTTTGAGCCAGATACTGATTTAGGTGCTGTTGCTAGAACCATGGACAATTCTTCCATTCCTAAGGCAAAAAAATCTACATGTTGCTTCCCAAAAGTGCCAGACGTGATCCCTGCCTTAGGCAGGGCCTTTGCACTCTTCTAACTTGATAATTTTCTCCCATATATCGAAATGGTGAGCTTTTTTACTTATTTTCCTTCAGTATTGCTCTTTTTTTGTCTTTTTGAGACAGGGTCTCTCTGTAGCTCCAGCTGACCTGGAACTTGCTATGTAGACCTAGATGGCCTTGAACTCACAGAGATCTGCCTACATTGTGAAAGTGCACCATGTATATGCAGTGCCCATGGAGGCCAGAAGAGGGTGACAGATCCCTTGGAACTGGAATTACAGATGATTGTTATTGTACATTTGACTGCTTGGAAACAAGCCTGGTCCTTTGTGAGAACAGGGCTTGCAACTGCTCTTAACTGCTGAGCCATCTCTCTAGCCCCTCATCTTTTTTTTTTTTAACTAGTCTAATTTTCTTGCATGTTAGTCACAAGTAGACCTACTTCCGTTAGCCATCCTTATGTGTATCTGTATTTTTAGGAAAACTGTACCTATTTTTCTTTGAAATTGAAAAATTTAAACAATAACTTACATCCAGAGAAGCCTTTATTCTAAGTAATTTAAACTAATAACATTTTGCTAGAGTCTGTTGCTTTCTTTCACCCTTAGAAAATCAGTTTTATAGAATTTGCATCAGACAAAATTCATGGTGTTTTTTAATTTTGTGTGTGTGTGTGTGTGTGTGTGTACAGTTCTGACTCCATGAAGACATAAATCCTATCAACTCCAAGTTCCTTTGTGATCTTTGTAGTCAACCCTTGTCCCCACCTCT